ATTTTTGTAAGCAATTTTTTTATAAATAAATTTTCAAATTTGAATATTTTAATTTACAATTAATCGCTCAAGAGTAAAATACCTTTTTATTTCACAATATCGAAAATTGTTATTATGAAAAGTTGTTTGGAATTAAAAACTGTGCTTTAATATGAAATTACATTCTTCTAATTGAAAAAAATTGCAAATTTTTCTCAGATTACCGATACCCAACATAATTTTTATTTATTACAAATATGATAACTCTTCCGTTCCGATAAAAAATGATAACAAAATTTTCAAAAAACAAAATAAGTACACTAAAAATCGAATGACCATTAAAGGTTTATTAACCTTTTTTTCGATCGGAATGGAGAGTTATCATATTTGAAATAAATAAAAATGATGTTCGGTATCGGTAATCTGAGAAAAATTTACAAAAAAATTTTATCCATTTGAAGGATATAATTGCGTATTAACGCATCGTTTTTAATTTCAAACAAGTTTTCATAACAACAATTTTCGATATTGTGAAATATAAAGGTACTTTACTCCTCAGTGAAATTAATATTTTTTGACATACCTACCTCTATCTATCTATCATATAAGATTGATAAAATTTGATATCTGATAGTTGCAATCTAGGTTTTAGACAATTATCGGTAATTTGAGAAATTTTTTAGGATATAATTGCATATTAAAACATAATTTTAAAATCATGAATGTGTTGCATGTGTGAGTCCATTTCAAATAGGTAAAAAGAAATAAATAAGACTTACAATCAGTTTAATTTTACTACTAAGACGACCGGTTTCGCTTCCTACAATTTGCAAAGCATCTTCAGGTCAGTCGGTACAAAGTAAATTAAACGCTGAAATTATAAAAAATCCCATATTAGGGTGTTGTCTTATAAAGATAAAAATAAAATAAGATAATATAAAATTACAGTAATTACGCCAATATTACACGTCTGTGTTTTTAATATGAATAAATTGTTTAAGCGGACAAAGTAAAACCCACAAATTGGTATAAAAGAATCTATTGAATTGTAATAAATTAGTAAATAAACAAATCATTAGTTAAATGCCGGTACAAGAATTACTAATTAATGATTTGCAGAACATAGTGCAAACTATCCTGTAATTGCTGATGATGGGGGATCTTCGGTTTGACTATTGTAACTGTTTGATAATTAGTGAAGAAATTTCTTGAGGGGATAGATATTAACCAATAAAGTAGGAATAAGGTATAATGTGATTGTTTGTTAAATAAATAAATTTTATTCCGTTTCAGTAACTATTTGTAATCCACAGTTAGTTATACGTCGAATAAGTTCAAAGTGTAATGATTTTCCACAGACTGTACTCGTTGACACCTCTCTTGGCCTCCACCTCTTAGGTTTTTGGCCAGGCACATCGCCCTATTTTTCACTGTAATCATATACATAACCTATAATATTTGATATTCTTTGATTAATTTGTCAAAATAATAATAATTATCAATGCCAATGGTCAATACATATTTGAAACGATCCTGTTGCAAAAAACGAAGAGCAATTGACAATTGATTTCGCACATCTATGGGTCTATTTTTGTTGCTTACAGGATGCAATTGGTTACTGATCAAATTTAATAAATGATCTACTGAATTTTTTGATAATCTAAACCTAGTTTTAAAGTCAACATCATCAAATTCAGCAAAAGGGTTTCTTCTTTGCAGCCTTCAGAGGATGATGATGAAGATACTATTCGAAAATAAATATATATGTATACAAAATTAAATTGTCTGATATAATTACGTTTACCTGCAATACATTGTTGATAATTTCAAGTTAAACTAATGAATTTTCTTTATTATTGATATTTAAAGTGAGGTTAGCTGCCAACTTATTCGAAGAATAAATGTTTATTGGGCCGATTTTGGACCGATAACTTATTTGGAGTTTATTCATAGAATACGTCTTATATGACGTTGGTGAAACGCAGATATGTCAGTTTTATTGGTCGAATAACTTTATTCATTGAATAGACTGCTATTTGTCGTTGGTGAAACCGGCCCTAAAAGTTATTTATATTTATTCAAGAGATATATTTTAGAAATGTGTGTTAATTTATTGAAATTTTTATTTAGGTGATAGTTGTATGGCAATGAATGAAATTAGATGTACAATTGTGTTGGCGTGCAATTTCTTTAACTTGTAATTATCAAATTTCTTTGAAGTTGAATTTGATTACTGTTTTTCGCAGATAATTGGAATACCAGATTTGTGAAAATTATTAAAACTAATACATTTAAGGATTAAAAAAAAATAAATTTAAAGTCTGTTTTGTCCTTTTAATTTCATTCTGTTTGTCCCTAAGTGTCCTTAATTGTTTTAGTTTTAATAATTTTAACAAATTTGACATTCCAGTTATCTGACTAAAACAGTAATCAAATTAAACTTTATCAAAGAAATTTGATAACTACAAGTTAAAGGGATTGCACACCCACACATTTGTACATCTAATCTCATTCATTGGGATACAACTATCGCCTTAATAAAAATTTCAATAAATTAATACATCATCATCATCAGTGGTGCTACAGCTCTAGTTGAGCCTTGACCTTCCCCAGTCTATTTCGCCAGTCGTTTCTGTTCATCGCCAACCGTTGCCAATTTGCTGCGCCGATTTTCCTTGCGTCCTCGTCCACACCGTCCCTCCATCTCAGTCGTGGTCTGCCTCTACTCCTATTTCCCACTGGGACCGATAATAGAGTTCGTCTGGGTGGGTAATTTTCATTTGCTCAATAAATTAATACACATTTCTAAAATATGTCTCTTGAATAAATATACATTATAAATAACTTTTAATGAAATAATAATACAGAACATCACTTTCATTTAACAAACAATCACGTTATACCTTATCCCTACTTCATTGGTTAATCTCTATCTATCAATCTATCTACTCAAGAAACTTCCCCACTAATTATCAAACAGTTACAATAGTAAAACCGAAGATCCCCCATCATCAGCAATTACAGGATAGTTTGAACTATGTTCTCCAAATCATTAATTATTAATTCTTGTATTTTCATGTAAGTAATGTTTTGTTTATTTACTAATTTATTACAATTCAATAGACTATTTTATACCAATTTGTGGGTTTTACTTTGTCCGCTTAAACAATTTATTCATATTAAAAACACAGACATGTAATATTGGCATAATTACTGTAATTTTATATTATTTTATTTAATCTTTATAAGACAGCACCCTAATATGGGATTTTTTGTAGTTTCAGCATTTAATTTACTTTGTACCGACTGACCTGAAGATGCTTTGCAAATTGTAGAAAGCGAAACCGGTCGTCTTGATAGTAAAATTAAACTGATTGTGAGTAAGTCTTATTTATTTTTTTTTACCTACATAATTTTTAATTACAAACAACGTTTTATAATAACAATTTTCAATATTGTGAAGTATCAAAGTACTTTACTGTTGAGTAAAATTCATATTTTTTTATATACCCCTTATAAGATTGATAAAATTTGATATCTGATGATTACATCTTAGGGAGAGCGCCCACCAAAGTGGCGTGGCAGTGGCAAGTAGCAAGTAGGACGCGTCTAGCATAATGTAACCAATCCTAACGAATGATTAGAATGAATGACGTTACTGTTATTTTGGTGTAAACTGAATCATTCGTTTTCATTGGTTACATTATGCTAGACGCGTGCTACTTGCTACTTGCCACTGCCACGCCACTTTGGTGGGCGCTCGCCCTTAGGTTTTAGATCATGCACGACTTTTTATAAAGAATAACTTTTTTTCTTAAAATTAATAATAAAAAGTTTTAATTATGATGAACACTTAATTGAACCCACTGTATAAAAAGTTTATAGAATAAAAGTTATTAAAAATTTTAAGTTGAGAAATCGAAGATACATCCTAACTGTTAATTTTGATAACTTTTTACATGGTGCATATTTCTCTAAAATCTGCGCATAAATAGGAAGTTTGAATTTATTTTGAGAATTTACTGTCAACAAAATGAAAGAAACTTTCTTTTTCAATGAGTTAACATGCAATAAACAAATAGCTTCTCAACCTTGTAGAACCACAAGCACACATCAGGCTAGTACGTTGTCGACGATATGCCTCCCTCGAGCAGATATTGAAATTTTAAAATAGCTACTCTTTAGCACGCGTAATGTCAGCACGTCCTAGCCCGCTGTGTGCTTGTGATTCTGCAAGGGCGAAAATGTATTCATTTATTGCTTGTTAACTCGATGAAAAAGAAATTTCTTCTATTTTTATTAATAGTGAATAGTCAAAATAGTTTCAAATTTTCTATTTATGTGCAGCTTTTAGAGAAATATGCTCCATGTTAAAATAAGGAGGGCTGAAAGTTATTCTAAGTCTTTTATTTCCTGACTTAAAGCTTTTAATATATTTTAAACTATAAACTTTTTCTATAAATATAAATTGTAATATTCAAATTTGAAAATTTATTTATAAAAAAATTGTTGTTATTTATACAAAATCGTACCATTTTTTGAGATAGGGGCCTACATAATCGTATCCAGCGAAAAATTTTAAATACGAGAATAGTTTTTAACTATCCACCCTTCCTTGCATACAGAAAAGTACCCTGCTGCCGGACTAACGGTGTAAAGTATAATATTATATGATACGAATTGCACCCTGATTGAGGTAAATTAACAGTTAAATAAATTCAATTTCTACAAGTTACATCCAATATTACCATTTTGTTACACCATTTTTACATTCAATTAATTTGACTATATCAGCATAAAAAACAGTCCAATGTAAATATAAACGGCTGTAATACTGCTAGCTTATTAAAACAGTGTGCAGCACGAAAAAATAAAGCTAATTAATTTTTAACTTTGTTACATTATTTTTGCAAAAGAAAAACGTTCTAATTCCCCTCCTGTTCGGTTATCATTACTTTATCAGTTAGTCTACATAATTTAATACCTGAATCTAATTGCCCCGTCAAACATTTTATTTTCAGATCTTGCATGCGTATTGATAGACTTAACAACATATTTTTTTAAAAAAACTATTAGCTGAGTTGCATGACCTTTAGAAGAGAAAACATACCCAAATATGGCAAAGGAGTATACCTATCGGGATTTAGAAAAATACGTGAGTAATATAGGTTGTATTTGATTTTCTGTTATCTATTTGTTTAGAAGTATTGCTTTATTTTAGAATCATTTGTCACGTCTGTGTAAACAATAATATATTGTGACAAAGTGTTGCTAGGTTATAGGGTTATAGGATAGGATATTTTTAATAAGCAGGATTAGAAAGTAAAATATATTTTGCCTTTTTGCTTTGTTTGCACTTACCGCTTTGCTTTTTATCTAATAATTCATATTAATATTAGTATTAATGCAGGTTTATTAAGTAATGATCTTTAGAAAGTAATTGTTGAAATTAAAAGTAAACTGCATGCTTAAAACATAAATATATGTAGTTTTAAGTACTGGTACTGATTAAGATTATTTGAGACAAAATAATATGCACACGTTCATGGCCTTTTGATGGTGCTTAATATAAGCAGTAACTGTTTTATTTATTTAGCTATTTTCTGCACTAATCCTTATTTTTCACCAGTCATCATTTATAATCTTTCTTTTTAAGCTTATCTGTGTAGTGTCATCTCGTTTTGTTATTTGCACTGGAAAGCTTTCATTATTTAAAACATATGTATAGATATATATATATATATATATATATATATATATATATATATATATATATATGTGTGTGTGTGTGTGTGTATAATTCCATTCCAAAATTCCACAGAAAATCGTTCTTTTTTTGATGCCAAAATAACGCTTTTTCAAATTTGAAGGCACCTCCTCAGACCAATTTTTTTCGTTCCTTATAGCTTAAAAGTGAAGAAAAAAAGAATGCCGTCTGCCGGACGGAGGGTACCCATTGCGTTTTTAAGTGATTTTTTTTTAAATCATGAATGTGTAGCTTGTGTGAGTCCATTTCAAATAGGTAAAGAAATAATAAATAAGACTTACTCACAATCAATTTAATTTAACTATCAGACGACCGGTTTCGCTTTCTACAATATGCAAAGCATCTTCAGGTCTCGATACAAAGTTAAATAAATGCTGAAATGATAAAAACCCATATTAGGGTGTTGTCTAATAAAGATAAACAAAGTAGATGTTGGAAATTACAATAATTATGCCAATATTACATGTCTGTGGTTTTATTTCAAAAAGAGTAAGTTGAATAAAAAGGTATAAAAGTTTTAAAAGTTTAAACAGACAAGGTAAGGCCCACAAATTGTCATAAAATAGTCTATTAGATTGTAATAAATTAATAAATGAGCAAATAAATAAACATTACTTACATGCCGGTACTCTATTAATTGATGGATGGTAGAACATGGTTGAAACTACTATGTATTGTTGTACTACAATCTCCTGAAAATACGGTAAAATTTCGATGATCAAATTTTAAAAAATCATTTAAAAAGCGACGGGTACCCTCCGTCCGGCGGACAGCATTCTTTTTGTCATCACTTTTAAGCTATAAGGAATGAAACAAAATTGGTCTGAGGAGTGTGAATTCAAATTTGAAAAAGTGTTTTTTTGTCATCAAAGTAGTAGTAGTGGTCCAAAACTAAATACTGTAATTTCAGAAATCTCTTTGCGCCCAGGATAGCAATAGAGTGAGCTGCGTGCAAAAACATAGGAGGGATGCAGAATCGACTATCTAAGTCTGACGTCATAATGAACGGGGATTTTAAAAAGGTTTACAAACACGTCTAATTTGTGTGTATTTGTCTCATAAAAAGTTGGAAATATTGGTTTTTAATTGTTTGAAGAATTATTAAGCACTTTTGGTTATGAATATCTATTCATTCTGTTCACACTGATTAGTATTATTTGTTGTTCATGAATTTGTGGGGTAAGAATATCAAAATATTAAGATATTTACTATGTTTGTTCATATTTTAAGGTTATGGTATTGTTTGATTAAACCTTTAATTATTTTTTTACGATATTTCAAGGTATTGTGTTGTTGTTTTTATCAGGATTATTTTAAAATAAATCAATAAATCACTGAATTTATTTACAAGGTTGAAAAATATTTAAATTTATATGTTTTATTATTTTTTCGTTGACAGTGATTTTATCTTGTAAATGACTAAAGATATTTGTTTTCCCGTAGTTTAAGTTGTAATATAACATTCTGTGGAAACCTTTCTATCAAATTTCCATAATGGGTGTTTAAAAAAATGTTTTCTGAATTTTGTAATAGTTTTTGAGTTTATTTTTTAGATCTGTTCATATAATGGCTAATAAACATCTATTGAAGATATCCATTATTACTGAATTTTTCAGTAATGACAACAAAACTGCTAGGAACTATTTAAACTACGAGAAAACTATATTTAGTCTTTGAGGAGATAAAATCACTAGCACTTAAAAAATAATAAAACAATAATTTAAATATTTTTTAACTTTGTAAATAAATTCAATGATTTATTGTTTAATTTTGAAATAAGCCCGATAAAAACAAAAACAAAATACCTTGAAATACAGTAAAAAATAATTTAAGTTTTAATCAAACAATACCTCAAAATGAACATTAATAGTAAATATCTTAATACTTACCTCACATATTCCCGAACAACAAATAATACCAATCGCACAGAATGAATGTTCATAACCAAAGGTCCTTATTTATTCTTAAAACATTAAAAAAAAATTAATATTTCCAACTTCTTATGGGACAAATACAGACAAATTAGAAAAGTTTTTTAAGAGTTTGACGTCAGAGCTTAGGTAGTTCATTCATTTGTGCCTTAAATTACACGGTTGCCACGATTCCTATAAATATTGACTGGTTTCTTTGTAGGTATAGAAATGTTGTTTACACGATCCATTATTTTGCAACATAATGACTGTATAATAAGTGGCGTTTAATTATTTAAAATTTGCAAGTTTTAAATGGTTATTTAACGATGTTAATGATAAAATAAATGTATTGTGATGGTTTGAGAATAATTACACTTACCCGAGTACGGTAATTTCTATCGTATGCCGTACACCATAATATGAAGTATAAAAAGGACGGACTCAGAATAAAAAGTATAATTTCCAATACATAAAAATTAAAAAAACACAAATTCTTAAATAATAAAATTGAAATTATTTGTTTTAAAGTTAATAGCATACAAAATTTTATTGTACAAGTAATAATGTTTAAATTGTTTTTATTTATTTGATTTTTTTAGTAGTAAGTGTTACTAACCCTATGTCGTATACAAGCACCAATTCGCGTGGTCATGCTTCTAAACAAATTGTCAACATTTTATTGTTGTAGGTTGTTTTCTTTTTTTAAGAGCAACTTGTACTAAATAGCTGTACGGTGTTTTGTGGACTATCCCGGCGAAGTCTAATTCTTTTTTAAATCATATCCCACAAATGTTCGATAGGGTTAAGGTCGGGTGAGCAAGCAGGTTACTACAAAATAGCCATATCTTCTGCTTCAAGGAAGTCTATAGTGGCTTTGCTGGTATGTGGAGATGTATTATAATACATGAAAATTATATTTTTTTCAATTGCACTTTTTCAGAGTCCAACTAGGGATTCTAGAACCAAATCAGCATACCTTTGAGCTAATAAAGTTGGTTGAATGGAAATTAAAGCAATTTTTTCACCGACCATATCACGTTCCCAGAACATAACAATTTATCCTTTAGGTCTGTGAACAGATCTGGCTGTTTCCTTTCTTGCTTGTCTTCCTCGTCCTCTAAATACACGAATGCATCGGTAATATGTTTTTACGCAAATCCTGGTTTCGCCAGAAAAAAAGCACATTTTGCTATTTTCCAATGTTCCAGTTTTAGTATTGAAGACACCAATTTAGGCGATCAATCTTGTGCTGTCTAGTTAACCCGGGAATTCATAACTGTCTACTGTTGTATAGCCCCTGGGTACGAAGTTTTCTTCTTATCGTTTTAACTGAAACACTTACATCTGTAACTTCCAAAAGCTGCTTTTGAGGAGTTGTGGGTGAGAAATTGTTCGTCAGTGAGTTTATTCATTTTCGTTCAATTTACAACTAAAACAAAAATAATCTATACTGTGCCGGGCAGAGTTATCTGATTGTTTTATTGGTTTATTTATTTTTAATAAAAATCTTTATTATTTGCAACCATAACAAGTTTTTTCAAAAGAAATAAATATTAGTTTGAAATACACGGTGATTCCATATAAGTTTGGTGGTGTGTATATGCCAGCAGCAAATAATGTCTCATTTGAAGTGAAATCATCCTCAATAATTTTAACTTTAGCTACAATTTTTTTAAACTCTTCTACGGAAAATATTTCAAAAATTTATTCTTAACTTTTGAATAAAATTAAAAGTGAAATTTACATAACTTTTTAGTGCTGCTCTACTAGTGCTAAACAAGCTCTATCTGGATGATATTGTGGGGGCCTTCATCAGGTCTAGCTAAAGGAATATTTCTAGCTTTTAGCCAATCTATCATTTTCCATATTTTACATGTTGATACGGATGTTGGTGCTTTATTCTCTTAAATATTATGATAAGGCGCATTGTCCATCACGATGACACTACTGTGAGGTGGATTACCTGATATTGTTTGGGACTTCTCTCTCATTAGATCCACCGACAAAAGGTGCTTCTTTCCCTGCACATACAATGATCTAACGTTGTCCTTCGATTTTTAAGCCCACTATTCGTTTTATTAGTACAACGATTACTGCGACTATGGCTTGAATAAATCTTTTTCATTTCTAAATTGTTGAATCTGTCTTAAATATTGTAATCGTATGTGTCTTATATTATGTTTTCCAGTTTTCCAACAAAAGTTTTCGATTATTTGTTGTTTTTGTTCCAACGCAATTAGAGATTCCTAATATCCAAACGCCTTCTTTATATTCAAATTCTACAACAAATCTCACATGAATTTTCTTTGCAGTGGGTATAGTACTACCATATTTATAAGAAAACAGGTTTATGGAATTTGATACCACGAGCAAGAGCACCCCTCTGAGCTGAATATTAATGAGTCTCTTAAAAATATGGTAGTAGTATACTTGTTTTTCACTAATATGAAAATTAATAATCTGCCGCAGAAACTC